AAATCGTTGAGAAAATCGAGCAATAACTCACACATACTCACCTTAGAATGTAGACTTGAATCTTCCTCTCAGAGTGTATTTGCAAGGCCATTCTTCGCTCCTCACCTGTTCAACACCAATTCTTTCATCCGTTTTTGCTTTGATTTCAATATACTTCTTCCACAATATGCTTCAATGTATTACAAACACATTACTTTTATTTAAACTATAATACTCTGGAAAAAATGTACTTTAATAAAGCAATTTCTCTCGCATGCAAAATGCTCGCTTTGCGGTGGCCATTTCGTGTGCAAGTGAAGCCTATCACATTTCCCATGATGCTTAACTATAATGGCAATTGCCTATTGCTTACGAGTATTTAGAATTGAATTATTTCATGCAAAGAACTAAGTATATTTACAATAAAAACTATAGACTATAATTGACACAAAATAAAGTTAAGAATTTATACACTTATACTATTAGATACAATGAAGGAGTTTTTAAAACGTTCAGTTCGAAACTTAGGGACTAGAAATTTATGACATTTCCCTAAGGGATATGTATACCTGTTTTCCTCTGGGATCATTTGATGTAGTTTATGCTTGGTATCGAAGTGTGCTTGAAGGAAAAGTTTTTTACATGCTGCTTCTCTTCTCGTCGGAGAAACAACCATTGTTTAATTTAACCCTTTGCTTCTGATTAATTAGTAAATCGATAATCCAATTAGCTATTTGAGGTGAAAGGTCGAGGTATTTCAATTTAAGATTCAATTCATTATGATCAAAACAGATCAAATTCTTTTTCGGAAATCAAACAGTACTATGCAAAGCAAGTTACCAGTTTGATCAGCAGCTTGTAGCCATTGGTGCAGCATTGAAACAAGGGCCACAGTAGTAGATGACCGGGCAACAATGCCAAATTGTTTCTGGTCTAGGATCTTCAAAACAGCAGATTTTAGATGTCTTTCTAAAATGAATTCTTCTGCTACCTTCAATAAAATTGGGGTAGTGAAATCGGACGAAGGTGTTTGTTAATGTTTCCTTAGGAATTGGTGATATATTAGCACTTTTCCATAGCAGTTTCCCTTGGTTGTAGGAACAATTCAGGATTACACTAATTGGGTATGCAAGGATTTCAGCATAGGCTTTGTAAACCCAAGGAGAAATGCCGTCAGGACCCAAGGATTTATCCAGGTTAATGGATTTTTAGACTTTTGTACGTGTCGAGCTCGTTTACTTGCAAAGATGAAGTATTTAGGTTAAATATTTCAGATGTATTGTTAGTTTGAGCTTGAATCTTTGCGGACTCGTCAAGTGGAGTATAAGCTTGTTGTGGATCCAAAAATGAGTTGTTAATTGAATTTGAGACATCTTCAGGAGACATGTGATCAAGGTTATCAATTGCGTTAGCAAGAAGCGAAATTAGGTCACTGTGATTGTTTACCGGTGAATGTCCACTAATTCGCTTGACTTCCTTCCACCAATTCTTTGGTCTAGAGTTTTTTTAAATGTTTACTTTGGACAAATAATATTTGCTCCCACATTTCTTTCTATTCTGATTAACCAGATTTCGATAGTAATTAAATAATGTTACATTTCCCCCTGCTAAGGCCATCTGACACTTCTTAATCTGTGATTTCAAATCTGTGGTCATCCATGGTGCGTCGTTACTATGTATCGTTATGACTCTTTCAGGCATAATATCATCTAAACCAATTGTGATAAAATCTTCAAGTAACTTAGCTTTGTCTTCTACTGAAACAACAGAGTGGAGCACTGACCAATTGATTGAGGAAAGATAACGACCAAGTTGCTGTTTATTAGATGGTCTCAGGTCCCTACATTTAATTTAAAGGGTTTTCTCTTGACTTTCAACTGAGGTTGGAAAGTTATGGTACAGTGGTCTGAAAGGCCAAACGGGGGGAACTTCTCTGGTTTTTCATAAAAGGTGGAGAGGTTAGTTAGGATTAAATCTAAAATATTTGGGCCCGAGTTGGAAAGTCGACAACTTGTTTTAGTTTGAACTGCTGTTTAATAGATGAGATATCGACGCGGTTAAAATCGCCTGCTAAAAGAAAAGCACAATTGGGGATTTCACTCTCGATTGCTGAGAGGGAACTAATTAAGTACTCAACGATTGTTTGATCATTACTGCTAGGGGGTGATATATTGTTCCAAGAACAATACAGGGTGCTCCACGTAGGAGTCTTTTTGGGTGAATTTTAAGCCAAAGTACCTCTTGGTCAGTTGATTAAAAGGCATTAAGCCTACTACAGTTTATCTCTTCTTGGATAAATACACAAACTCCACCATGACAGTTTCGAATGCGATCTTTACGTATTACTTTGTAGCCTGGAATATGAATGACGTCTGTGATGGAGCCCCTTAGCCACGTTTCAGTAATACATGCCAAGTCTAGGTTAACTCATTCTCATCCGGTCAAAAAGTAGCAATTTCGAGTGGTGTTGTTTTAAACGCATATATCTTTCAAACTATGCATCGTACAAAAACAGAAATTGCATCGTTCGAACGAGGAGGACTTCCGCTTCAATTTCATCCGGAGCATGGTTAATAATTTACTCACATAAATTTGCATAAATTATGATATAAAAAAATGTTGGAATTATGCATAAATGTATGTACCGGTTCAAATTTCAAATATGTCAAAAAATTTATGAATGTAACTGAAAGACATGGTTGTGATCTACAAGTACCTGACATTTCATGCATGTAGCATAAATGGGAGTATTTTTATTGAATTTTCGAATAAACTATGTAGTTGAGTAAAATTTACATTTTGGGCTCACATGAAACAAATACCCTTATCAAAGGTCCTTTTTTATTGCTGCAACATTACTATCAATACAAATTTCTAATATTTTTTTACACTCCAAGGATAGTGTGGCACCAAAATAAGTCTGTGATACCCCCAAAAGAACACTCAAATCACTATTTGCAAAATGTCTTTATTTCTACGGTTACTATATACATTCTTAGATAATCAGTACATCAGTGGCATAACCAACCTGAAAATTTGGTCATGCTATTCAAATTTTAAATAATCATAACTCGAAATTAGAAATTGATTGTTTTCACAATCTAGAACATGAAAATATTTGCATATAGCATGACCAAGTGTTGTTGGGCTGGCATCATCATTAGTACTTATAAAAAAGTAATGTTTTCCAAGGCAGTAATATTTGCCAAGGCACATAATTGGATTATGTGGTGAAAATATTTCCTTTTTTGCACAAAATATATATTGGACAGCAAAAGTCCTAAGATTGTAACCAAAGTTATATCACATCACCATGTCATACCCAAATCCATCCTACAATGAATCTCTGGACTTGCTCCTGTATAAATCTCAAAGTCACAATATATTAAACCATTAGGACTGTCTCCAGCATAGTAGGCAATCTTTCATGAACTGCCTAATCCCCAACCTATTCCTTGATTTGACAGTGTCTTCATCAACAGCAATTTTCTGTGATGGCTGCTACAGTTGTTGATGTAGTTTATTGCTGTAGTCTTCAGTGACAGGATCTACCATATTCAGAAACTTTGCTTTACAGCGCTTTGTACCTAAACCAAAAAATTATTTCTATTGCCCACAGACCATGATATAAGGTTTTTACATTCCAATAATTTTCAATATCACTGTTGACCTTTACCAAACCTGCATATACTAAAAAGGCAATCAACCTCTCAATCTCCACAAGGTTGGTGGACTTCGAGACCCTTCTTTATTAGTATATGGGGATGATTTTTGAGGAAAATAATCAGGAAAATTGCTCCAAAAGGTTTGTTTTTCTGCCTAAGCCAATCAAAATCCGTATCTAGGGTAAACAAACACTCCAGAAGTGATTTCTCTTTTACCAGGAAACTGTAATGCTTTACCAAGAATTTGGCGTCCGAAGTTGGCTGAACACTTTCTGACCATGAGAATCGCCATAATAGGCATAGATTATTTTGCAATTTCCTGAGACTGCTCCGAGCTATAGAATGAAAGATGGTGATTCTTTCGGTCTATTTGTCTTTATTATACGTTGAAAAGAAGCAAAGATACAGGCATTTGAATCAGGCGGAACAGTCAAAATGCAACAGCAAAATTGGTAATGCGTCATTTGCATAAATTTCACTGCATTGATAATTTCAAGGTAAGAAATTCGCTTGAAATTGAGTGAGAAACAATAAAATTATACGAATATTTCGGAATATATAGTATCGATCAAGCGGAATTTCTTGGTGGTATTTTCATATTTCTACTGCAAATACTTGTGGAGTTCTTTCATATTTAATCTTCCAGTCATATACGTCGGAAATCAATATTGGCGGATTGAATTGAGTTAAGATCCAGGGCAAACTGGCATACTTCGTCTATCTTAGGGGCTAATGACATTACGTTTGTTAACATCAGACTCGGGACGAAATTCTTACCGCTCTTCCATGTTGGGTAACTTTTCCCATTAGGGGAGGAATATTTGTTTGTGTTAAATGTTAACTTTTTCACTCGGAATAGTGATCAAATTGTTTCTGCATGTATCGTTCATGTCAACCAACCATAACATGTTGATCTTGTGAGTTTACTCTTTCGCGTAGTTATTTGGGTTGATATCTGATAGGGGATTTTTGTCATTCTCGTTGTTGGATCTGGGCTAGTTTTCGAAAAATTGTCATCTAATAATATAATAGAAGTTGAAAAAGTTCAATTTGTCCCTTTGCACTCGGTCTATACGAAAATTCTCTTCACTCATTCTTGAAAATTCTGGATTGGTTGTTCTGGTTTCATGACGCACAAAGTCTGACCAGGCTATAATTTGCTGTGGGGGTGGGATTCAGGGAAAGGCTCATTAGAGGTGGGGGTGCTTGTGTGACCAGACTATTTGACTGATTCTGATGGACATGCTCCAAATGACCTGGCCTTGTTTCCTCGCTACATTCTGTGTACATTTGCGGTTGGTAAAGTTGATGTTTATAATGAGTCTTATCTCTGAAATTACAGTCCTGTTGCGATTTTCACATCCACCTAGGGTGTTTCTGAGTGCAACCATGTCTGGGTTGCCGTTTGATGTGCTCTTGGTCATGTTGTATTCCAACACTCCGACTTTGGATTGATTTCTTTTCAGAAAGTGAGCTGAGTCTTCGCTGTGGCTGTTGTTGTGCAGGGTTATTTGCATATTGAAATTCGGTCGTTTGCTGCATATATTTTTGCAATGGTTCACTGACTTCTTTTAGGTTATGAAATTCTTGCTGTATTTCCTCGTTTTGTTTTTCAAATTTTGCAAGCATATTACCAATTTATTTAATTCGAGAAGTGTTATGAAAGATATGTCTTTCGTTTATAACTTGATTGAGCTTTATGCATGCTGTTGTTTTGGCATATCGGCTTTTCAGTGTTTGTTGCCATGTTGTTAACATTTATATTACCTGTGCCTTTCATGATTAGGCAAACTGAGTGCTTTTATAGCTCTGCATCTGTGCCTTTAAACTGTAGATCTTTCCTACTTTTCTGCCAAGAAATACTATTAGTACCAGTGGTGAATACTTTCTTGTCTCCACCGGATTGGCTCCATTGACCTAGGAGCTTCAAATTCTTGTTCACGAATTGTTTTAAAGACAAAAAATTTCCAGTCCAAGCGATTTGTAGATGGTCAGATAGCTGAGAAGATGGCTGAGAAGGGTTTGAACACGCATTAGAGTGGCTCACTTGAAGCTTCACTTGTATGAACATCCACCATCTTTGTAAAGTATAGGAACATCCATGATGATATATTGGTATCTGGGTTTGATGAAGAAGACTGCTACCGTGCTCTCAGTGCTACTTTTCAACATCTCTGTGAATCTGGTTTGACACTAAAGCGAAGTAAGTGCGAATTTGGAAAAACTTCCATTATGCATGCAAGCCTTGAATAAAAACGGGTTATAGCTCATGTTCAATAGTGCAACTTTGGCTTGCCTAAATATACTTTAACACCTTTCTTTCAATTATATTGTCATTCGGTAAATGCATTTTGCAGTTTTAAACTGAAATTTCTTGTTGATTAATTGTTTCGTTTACAACTGGTATACACTTGGCCATTGCCGTTTGTTCGATGTGTGTATATATATATATATATATATATATATATATATATATATATATATGCATGTATAAGGTGAACCATAGCTCAAATGCAATAAAATAAAGATTTCACATGCTTCTCCCCATATCATGCAAGCATATTTTTGTTGCAAATTAGTTCCTCTGAATGCATTGACGAGAGTAAATCCCGGTGAAGCAAAGTTGGAGTTCATAATGTATTGTGGTTTAACGTATATATATAACGTATATGACCGGCAACTCTTATCGACTCTCATGATACTCGCGAGAGTATACTAGTTGTGAAAATTTGTTTACAAGCTATATAACTCGCTAACTCTCATTCTCGTCGTTAGAACAGGGCAGCTTTATTTACTAAAGCTAATCAATTTGACTGTGTTTGTATGACATTAGAACTTAGGGTCCGTAATCTAAGTGAGTCGAACTGATAATTAGTTTTCTGCATTTCAAATAACTTTGTGTTATTCTAATTTCTATCAATGCGGATAATAAGAATTATTTTTAAATCCCAGAGGCAAAAGCATGCACAGACATTGAAATGCTAGTAAGCAGCAGAATTAGGCAAATTATATTGTTTGCAGGGTTTTTGATACCCCCTGTGTAATTTTTTTGAACAAGTTAACGAACAGCGTAAAACAAAAGACTTTCTACTTATGGGACATGTACAGATAACAATGAAATACCCTGTGCAGTACAAGCAGCATTAAAATGAAGTTATAATTGATCTCTTTTGTAAATAATACATATTTTTGTCGCCTATCATTAACTCAAAGCAGTTGAGAACAATCAAATCACTTATAGTTATTGTTAACTTGAATTTGAAAAGCTATACTTTTTTATACACATTGTAGACACCCTGCACAATTTCTAGTATGTTCAGACCAGACGTAGGTGGCGTAACTTATCTGAGACATCACAAGTGTCAAGTACAGCATCCACCTCATTGTGGTGTTAGTAGAGGACAAGTTCGTTTAAGCATCTCAAGCATCTTGTTTCCTTTGGCAGTGATGGTATGAACATAATCTTCCAATGAGAGGTTGTCAAATATGAGGACACCAAGATCTTTTTCCTTAGCCACACAAGTAAGTTCCTTTGAGTTTATATGATATGTGTACGTCAACAGGGATTTTTTCTTGTGATTTGCAACACCTTACACTTCGACTTCTTAAAATTGAGGTTGTTGACACAGCTCCAGCAGTCAAGATCTTTTAAGGCTTGTTGAAAATTTTCACAGTCACCAACTGTGTGATGTGATGGACTTAATTGTACAGTTTTGTGTCGTTTGCATACCAAGCTGCCAATGTCTCATCAGGTATATGTCGGGAAGATCGTTTATGAATATCACAAACAGAACAGGGCCCAGAAGACTGCCTTGCAGCACACCAGTTGTAACAGGCACACGATCGACGCCATATTGTGCTTTTTGTGATAGGGTGCCTAACATGATTACTTTGCCAATGACGGGCAGCAACAATATTGGTCTTTAATGTTGTGCCAGTTCTTTACGTTTAAACAACTCATATGCTTGGTGCGATTTCAAGGGTTCATACTTGTAATAGGCAAGTTGGAATGCCATCGAGGCCACATACTTTTGAGATATCAAGGGCACACAAAAACTTCATCGAGTGTTATCTCCGAGATGTTTCCGTTTGAGGCATGTAGTTGCAGGTGGTAGAAGAGGTAAAAAATTCTGCATTTTCTTTTGCCGTCTTAGCTGTGACACCATCATATGTTATTTCATTATCTACTCTTTAATCAATCAATCAATCAATCGATAATTTATTTATCCATGTTACACTTAGGAGCAAAAGCTTGTTAAAATGTGCACATGCCAATAAACTATGAATTACTGTATGTACAAATTGTGATAATATTACCAACAATCATCCTTTTCAAATATTTTCATTTATAATGGACAGGAAAAGCCAAGGCCAATTCTTGTGGAAATCGGAAACACCCTCAGTTGATATTTTCACTCTGTGTAGCCAATTTCATAAGAATCTTTAATCCAATTTATAACTGTTGGTCTAATTCCATAATTGAGTAACTTCTGATGGACTAAATCAAAGGCTTTCTTGTAGTCAAGTAATCCCACTATTATTACTAAACCAGTTGCATCGGTTTTGGTTAACCAATTATTTATTAGTGAGACATGGCCAGAAATGACGGACATTGTGCAAGCGTACCAGTCTGTCAGCAGCTTTTCCGTTTATCCACAAGAATTACTAATTATCCTTTTACGACCTATCACAGCATCCGGAATTTCAAATATTCGTGTGGGTGTTGTTTATAAAGCAAAGCATGAAGTATGCACTCAAGTTGTGCCCTTTAGTTTACCAGACTCGGGATGTAGCTAAGCAATGACTACGGGAACTAAAAGAGAAGCTTTCGGCGAGTATTTTGGTACCAAACATGTAGCAAGGCAATCAATATTTCGAGTTTGGCAAGCGAATGGAATATCACCTTTTGACTTGCGAATTTCAAAGCAAAAAAGCAGAGCTTTTATCAGGGGTAACAAAATAATAAATGGCGGAAGGCAAGGCTATACTACTCGTCAAAATAAAATGATTTCAACAAATTTCGATAATTGAATATATTACGAGATATAGCCTTTTAAGCGAGAAACCTTTATAGATTCCTGTGTAAAGTGAGGTAAAATGTTCTAATATTCAATCGCAAAAAGCAGAGCGAGTATGCAAAGAAATGAGAACTTTTTTTCTTAATGTGTTACTATACGACCGCTACTTCTGGAACCAATTTCAACAAATATTCAAAGATTTATATATAGCCTGCTATATTGAAAATACTCTGCTCGCCTAATAAACATAGGGCATTGTGCAACCATTGTTGCGTGGGTGGTCGTGGTAAGTGAAACCTGAGAAATGAAAATGTCCGGGATTGCTGGCCATGTGTGGGCAGAAGTTGTACATGAACACAAAACTTCGGGCCCCCTTCACATTTGGCCCCGGAAAATGTTGGAGAGCTGGGATGTGGTTTTAAGTGTTCCTGGAAATGAAAGGGCCCAAAAAGCTTTTTCCTAATCGCTGAGCCAATGGCGTGGAGCGCGGTTCCAAGCGTAAGACCGCGGTGAGGGTACTAATTCCGCCCGGCTATTTACACCTGGGAAAAGGAACACACTAGCGAAGTCTAAAGTTCATTAAAAATCGTGTGTGGTCATCTCACTGATAATAATATAATAAATAATAAAAGCATTTATTTTAACACAATACTTTTACAGCATAGCTGATCTGGTCATGTAACTAACGGATTCCACATATAGTATAACTGTTCACTACAGCATAATTGTTCACATAACAATCACATTATTTGACACTTGCATGACCCAAAGTATTATACACACATTGTAACAGTACCATCTTTAATTATGGGGAGGTTAGGTCATACGTGGGTCGATGCAATTTGTTGGTTAAATTCCCTGCCATGGGCAAGCAAATATCAGTCAAGTGTTATTAAATGCCTCACTGTTGAGCACACACATTTGTGGTGAAAGGCTTGAAAGTCATTTGTCCCAGTTCTGAACACACCCTTACAAAAATTTCACATAACATTTCATATATGAAATTTTCATATATGAAATTGTTTCAATTCCGCATAAAGATTTCATATATCAAATATTTCATATATGAAATTCCACATTAAGATTTCATGTATGAAATTCTCACATGTTTCAAATGTTCAAATATTAAGTTTTATATTAAGCATTGAAATTAAGCGAGTCAGCCCTTACAAAAATTTCACATAACATTTCATATATGAAAATTTCATATATGAAATCGTTATATGGAATTGAAACAAATTTCATATATGAAATGTGTGTCCTACTAAAGAATGCCCGGGAACGCCCGGGGAGATTCGTTGAATGCCCGGGAGTTGGGAAAGAATGCCCGGGGAAAATTACATTCATAATTACGTTAGTTTATACTAATAAAATCACTTATTTTATGAGGCATGTGCTAAAACCTGGACGCTGGACGATGGACGTCCATCGTCCAGGTTTTATTGGACGATGGACGTCCATCGTCCAGGGTTTAGCACATGAAATACTATCAAAATGAAGAGAAAAGTGAGATAATATACTGGTATACGGCAGAAAAGAGAAAACCAACAATACCAAAGTTTAATCAAACATACTGCATTTTTAATTATAGTTTAATAATTTTGAGCGATTTGTCAACAAAAACAATTTCGCTTGACTTTCAAAGGCCATAAATCGCTAGAATACTGTTGTTTAGTAATACTTTTGACATCCGTTGTCCTTATTGGGCGCATAAAACCAGAGATAAGACAGAGTCCAAGATTACATCTGTGATTACATGCACAAGTAAAGTTGTACGCTACATATCCTCAGTACAGTACAATCATTCTCCTGTCGGCCGCCAGTTGGTCTGCAGTACGTTAGGATCGAAACTGCGTTTTAAAGCCTTCAAAATAGACTATTTTTCTTGTAATATATGACATTGCAAAAACTATTCACAGAATGCGCCTGGGGAAAATTACGTACCGCCAATGTCTTTTTCAAATCTACTCAGAATCAGGGGCGGCGGAACGGGGGGCTAGGGGGCTAAAGCCCCCCCAGAAGCAAAAGTGTGGGGGGGGGCTTAGCCCCCCAGAAATTTTGTTTTTTCTGGAAAAATTTTGATAATTAAGTAAAACATTTAGGGCATTTTTTGAAAATTTAGGTATAAGGGGAAAATATGCCATATTTTGTTTAAAAACTGTGTATGTCCGGAAAATTTTTTTGTTATAGGTCCGGAAAATTTTTGTTTCATCCCTTTTCTTGTATATGTCCGGAAAAATCCCTAAAATGGTAAACTGACCAAAATTTTTTTGGCGACGGGGGGGGGGGAAGGTCATGGAAAAAACTTAGCCCCCCCCCCAAAATGAAATCTGTTCTGCCACCCCTGCTCAGAATATATCACTATCAGTGAAATATATTTTCGGTAGTGTAAAAAGATGTTTCTTCATCACATTATCACCACAAATTATTTATTTGGCTTTGTAATGCTAAGAATTTCAAAAATGTTGTCTTTTGTTCTGTTAATATTGTATTATATTTGCATGATAAATGCCTAAAGCACAGAATAACCTAAAGCCTTTATAATGTCGTATATATAATGTGATGAAGAAACATCTTGGAAAAAAATTTAGCCCCCCCAAAATGAAATCTGTTCCGCCGCCCCTGCTCAGAATATATCACTATCAGTGAAATATATTTTTGGTCGTGTAAAAAGATGTTTCTTCATCACATTATATATACAAAATTATAAAGGCTTTAGGTTATTCTGCGCTTTTAATAGGCACTTATCATGCACATATAATACAATATTAACAGAACAAAAGACAACATTTTTGAAATTCTTAGCATTACAAAGCCAAATAAATAATTTGTGGTGATAATGTGATGAAGAAACATTTTTTTACACTACCGAAAATATATTTCACTGATAGTGATATATTCTGAGTAGATTTGAAAAAGACATTAGCGGTACGTAATTTTCCCCAGGCATTCTGTGAATAGTTTTTGCAATGCCATATATTACAAGAAACTTTCATTAAAAAATAAAAGACTTGTTAATGTTATCATTAACTATCGTAATTACTTGCGTAATTTTACCCCGGGCATTCATTTTCGACTCCCGGGCATTCTTTTGTGACAGCCGGACATTCTGTGAACAGTACTTTGCAATGCCATATATTACAAGAATTATTTAATCTTTCATAAAATAAGTGATTTTATTAGTATAAACTAATGTAATTATGAACTTAATTTTCCCCGGGCATTCTTTCCCAACTCCCGGGCATTCAACGAATCTCCCCGGGCATTCTTTAGTAGGACCGTGAAATGTTATGTGAAAATTTCATATATGAAATATTTCATATATGAAACATTTCATATATGAAATTTTCATATATGAAATTGTTTCAATTCCACATAAAGTTTCATATATGAAATTTTCATATATGAAATTGTCTCAATTCCACATAAAGATTTCATATATCAAATATTTCATATATGAAATTTTCATATATGAAATTGTTTCAATTCCAAACAGCTGGGAAATTTGTTGTCGCTGTGCAGAGAAATTGCTGGCGCACGCAATATTTTACAAAAATTCGAAAATTTGAAAAAACAACACGAGTGAAATTTCAACTTATGATTTTGCATTTTTAAGAGGGCGATCAAGGAAATTAAATTATTGGAAAAACTTCACTAACATCTCAAGTATGGAAAGCATCTACATTGCTAGCAATTTAATTGTGGATTGATTCAAAATTCAGGCGATAAAGTTACATAGCTAGGAGTTGGCTTTTGTGCTCTTCGAATATCAGTTTTCATTTGCGGATTACTGCAACTTGTTGATCTCATGGTTGCCAAAATCGACATAAACGTGAACTGCTAACCAAGAGCTATAAAACAAACAGCTTTTCAAAAAGATAAACTTTATTCAGTCAAAAGGATGAAGGTAAATAAACATGCTAGTGCATGATAGTGATTTTGAAGCAACTTTGTCACATATATTTTAAAAAGTGTGATTATGAATCAAATTTTGCTTTTTGCAATCCCAAAAGGTATGAAAATTATTTAAATATTTAAGGTTTCCATGTTTATGCAGTGTTTTTTTGAGAAAAGTAAAAATTTTCCCGATAAAAAAGCATAGTTTCTGCAGAAAACTGTTTTCTGATAGAGAAGATCCTGGGGGAGGGGGTTTAGAAGCGTGCGCGGGTAGCAAAAAACCTTGACGATTCCTCCAAAAAATTAATACCAAATTTTGTTTTGCCTTTGTTTGATATGTAATTTAAACAAGTTTTTTTTACATCTAAAAATTGCCCCTATAGTGGTCAAAACTTGGATTATGTTCGCAGTATTCACTATTTGTTTACTTTTGGAGATCAAAAGTTTGAGGTCCAATTATTTTTGAAGTTTGCAAACTACCCAGCTAATTCTCGGCTGTTGTTTGCAGCCATGTATGCTGATTAAAATTTAGTTTAGTCCACAATAGTAGATCCTTTCAATGAAGGGAAATTCAAAATAGTATATTTGATTACTTTTACAGCACAGTCATTACATAGGTAGGGTGCAATACCAGGCCAAATTGCAAAAAAATTTACCGATTCCTCCAAATTTAAAATCATATTTTTTTGCTCCCAAGGCACATAGGAAACAGAATTTAACAATAAATTTTGTTGAAAATTTGCCCCTTTGCGTCTAATTTCGCTTTGAAATGCGTGCATTTGCTGCTCTTGTATGAAGCAAGAGTTCGAAAACATTTGAAGTACTGTAAAATGTAATGAAATCGACAACTTGACCTTGCCCTTGAGAGTTGAGACCTTGTACTGCCTCAGCACTGAAATGTTTTTTGACAACGATAATTTACCAGTGTTTCTTGCATATTTTCCCTGTTTAACTAGTAGAACCGAACATGCAAGTGCATCAGAAGACTAAGCAAGAGTTTTGTGTAGAAATGCTCTGTTTACGGGAAGTTATTTTGCATTCGCAAGCGTCAACAAAAGCCGGCATTTTCACAGTTTGATTAATAATATCATGTCAATAGATAAAAGCTTTGAAAATCCAGTTGAAAACATTTTAAACCACCCTATTTGTGTAGAATATATGTTAGTTGTATTAACATTGAACTTCTTTCTGTTTGAACCCAAATTTGTACTTGTTTTGCATTTGACAAGGCTATTATCAACTGTTAAGCTTGCAACGATTGGCATTTAATATACCTCAGGCATGACTGCAGATTTAGCGTGTCAAATGTCAAATAATATTCTCTTGCTGTTCAAACGAGATATTCTATACACTGGAAACATAGAGTACATTTTACTTTGTCTCAAGCAAAAATTTATAAAGATTAAACAGGCATTCAAAAATATACAACAACCTGTCAACCACGAACATCTCGTTATTTCTTCGACTTCAAGTTTCAATGGAAATCTTGGCACATGCGCAACAAATTTCCCAGCTGTTTCAATTCCACATAAATTTCATATATCAAATTTTCATATATGAAATTGTTTCAATTCCACATAAAGATTTCATACATGAGATATTTCATATATGAAATCATATATAAAACACGCTTCGTTGGGTAAGCGGGATCATATGAACTGCCCCTCAGAAAAATCTACCTAAATAAGAAAGTTACATACTATGCAGGTTTGATATACCACATCGGACACTAGTTTATTTGAAATATACAAATTACAAAATAATAAAAACTTACAATATACATCTATTTAGTCTCGGTTACAAAAAATATCCCAAATTTTGTGTGATTTTGAGGAAATTATCCATTTGGGACATTTTTTGATACACCCTGTATATGCATTACTCAACTAAAAGCATGCAGAAATAAAAAAAATCAGGGGTGGGTTACCAGTAACACCATGCAGGGACAAGACCAAAGATTAAAATTAAGAAATGCATATAATATCATTACTAAAATATTAAAAACAAATACTGTATGTTTGTGTTCTCTTAACAGTTCTCCCAAATCTTCAGTTCACATTGAATCTTTTTCTTGCATTCTTAGTTAATTTCGAAAATTTCTTGGGTCTATCCACCTCAGTTAAGGCAAATGCTGTCAGCATGGACTAATAAAAGAAATTATATGGTTTATAATACAGTAAAATTAATATACATTGTGATATCTGAATTTTCTTCTTGTCAGTGACTGCAGTCAAGCCTGTACTGTTTCAGTCAGTCACTGCCCACATAGTCATACGAGTAAATCGTTAGACAGAGTAAAATAATACTTAAACCAGGGTGCATTGGCACAATGCAACTGAATGGATTAACTAGATTACTATAGACGCATGGGCAGATAGGCCAGTTAAGTTACTATACGTATTAAACGCCAGAGCTCTCCCCTTGACGAGTAAATTGTCTGGTGGTAGACAGAGTAAAATCATAAAGCAAGGGCGCATTGGTGCAATGCAATTCAATGGATTAACTAGACACATGGGCAGATAGGCCAGTTAACCCATTAAGCACCAGAGCCCTCCCCTTCATGAGTAAATCGTCTGGCGTTAGACAGAGTAATATAATAAAGCAGGGCGCAATGGGTTAACTTATATCAGTAATATCACAAAGAAAAATATTAGTAAACTTACATGCTTGCCTCCTTTTGGTGGGTCTGCCGGTGTCTTGCTTGCCTGTCTTGTTTTGGTTGGTCTGCCGTTCTCCCAGTGCATGTGGAAGGGAAGCCATTATACATCTGAGGGTTAACTATAAAAGGGTACAAATGGTGCATATATTAAATAAGTATGTTGAATACCAATATACAGTCATACCAACACTCTCTCCTTAACAAGTAAAGTCTTTCGGCATTTCAAGACAAAGAAATTAACATAACAAATAACTAGGGATGCAATGGATACCATATCTGGCCATATATTGAGATTTTACTTCATTTTCTGGTACCTGGTCACCCAATACTGGGTATTATTTACATAAGGTTCAGGCCGTCAAGATTTACAGTTACTACAGGTTAGATGATTTGATTAGGTTAAAAAAGCAGGGGTGGTTATCATATTTTTATTCAATGATTGATAACAGGAATGCTTGTAAACACTATTTTCAAGATTTTATATGCTTGTTTGTAAATGCAGATTTGACCTTTGAACTAATGCAAGTGAGGCTTTTGCTACCAATGATGCATGTTTACTAGTGTTAGACTGAAGTTCTTTCCTATTATTTCAAATCAAAATTTTATAAACACCATCACTTTTTAACCAATTAAAATGATTACTTATGTAAATTAACCTTAAATGATGCCTGTCTGAACCTTATATATTTCAATAATACCCTGAATCTGGCTCCAGGGATATTTTTCCTACTATCTAACATATCCTCAACTATCCAACATATCTGGCTGGATAGCAAAAAGTCTCTACCCTGCACACCCCTACAAAGAACTTAAAGTAGGTAACATAAGAAGAAATTGCTCCTTAGGTGTTAATAGGTGAAATATGGGCAAGTAGTCCACAGTCTATAATCAAAATTGTCTAGCATGACATGTCAGAGTTGAATATCAAAGTACTTAAAGTAGGTAGTGTTAGCAGTCCTTGAAACTCAGGTCGGCATTCGGCAACGCCGACCTAAATGCCGACCTGCAAAGTGATATATGTAGATTTAGGTCGGCAAAATTTTGCCGACCTACTTTCAAATACGTCTCGGCATTTTTTCAGCGAACGCATCTTTCACATACGCATTTTCAACGAGCTTGCGTAGTAGTAACATTGCAGTTTTATTGTTGAAAACTTTGAAAAGTAAACATACGAGTTAAAATCGTCGAGCTTCAAGATTTAAGCGAAAGTAGGAATGGTAATAAAGTAGTCACAACATGCATGCACTGTTCGATTGGAGTTCATACATTTTGTTTGTTGTTTTCTTTGCTATATATTGGCATTGATTGCAATTAATTGCTGTTTATAAATACACATATTTGCAGCAAGCAAATTAAATTTTCATTTGGATATTTTTTCTATTTGTTTGAAAATATTTGCCGACCTAGGTTGAGAATTATCGCTTTTAGGTTGGCAATTTGTTGCCGACCTGAAATTTCGGGAGTTTCAAGGACTGTGTTAGGGAAAATTGTATCTAAATATATCAACATGAAACATGGGCAGAGTCTAGCTAGACACTTCCTTTGACAAATAAAATTGTCCGGCATTAGGCAAGATAACATTTAACAAAGTGCTGAAAATTGGGCTCATTGGAGTGAATCTGTGAAATGGGTATTAATTCCAAAAACCACCAAACCCTTGCCGGGGTGTATATCTCAAATATATAAAATGTAGCCCAAAGGTTATTAAATATATTATTAAACAGATCATCAGATCATGCAGGTGGCATAAATAAATGTTATTTGCTGTGTTTGTGTAATGTACTCAGGTGAATAAGATGCTTGTGTGATGTTACTCTGAGTGTATATCCACACCTGGCAGGCTTGAAAAATATGCCTGGCCACGGTGGGATTCGAACCTATGACCTTTGGAGTACTAGCCCAATGCTCTGCCAACTGAGCTACGCAGTCAGGTCGGTTCGACTGTTCGAGTATGCTATATTTCGGAACTGAGTCTAGTTCCTTCGATATCAGTGTAATCTAATAATCATGATATTTGCTGTGTTGGTGTAATGTACTCAGGTGAATAAGATGCTTGTGTGATGTTACTCTGAGTCTATATATATCCACACCGGGGCAGGCTTGAAAAATATGCCTTGCCACAGTGGAAAATATGCCTGCCGGGTGTGGATATACACTCGGAGTAACATCACACAAGCATAACTAAATGTATTCATATAAAGTTTGAAACTTGCCACACAACACATCAAATTGACAATTTTTATCTAAACTGAGTAACTGACCCACCTATATATTAATAAATATTAATAGAAACTATGAAAGTACCAGTTGTTAATTGGAAAAAAGTCCGTAAACTCTCTCAAACCATGTTTACCTCGGACATACCTAGGTAGGCATATGAGAAATTATTGAGTAGATGCCAAGCTAATATATTTATTTTATACAAGGAATACTTGATCTGGCAATCTGTCATATACACAACTAGTCTATTTGGCATTACAACAAACATAATTTGATATAAAGGCTGAGTCAAATGTAAGCCTTTGTATAAAACTAATGTATTTATATTGTTGCAGCGAATAAAAATGCTCAAAATTCACAAATGAAGATAGTAAATATTTCCTTTCAAAATTGCTCTGTTATATAGAAAACAAAACAATATCCTTACCTGGATGTTACTCAGTCATCCCTGATGTTCCATCTTCGCTAAAATATATCATCTTCCAGTAAAATACTATAAATCTTTCGATTGAGCAGATAAAAATTCACTGAATTTCAAAAATATGGCGGTGTCACAGAATAGATAATAGGACCAGAAGTCTTACTCAAGCGGAAACATGTCCCATCTTTTATACTGCGCATGCGCGAGCTAAACAAGTGTAATGCAGTGTTGACAATAGAAAATTATATTGGGAAGTTGTTATTTCTACAGTAAAAACAGCTTTTTTTCAAGTAGTACGAAATGTGACTTCGATTTACCTGTGGAACTATTTGAACAGAAGGTAAAGCAGTAATTTTGTTGTATTTAGAAAGCAAACAGGGTCATATTTTTAAAAATATAGCGCACTGAATATAAATTTGAGCTCATTAAAATGTGTTCGCTATGATGCCATTTTGTCTCCGGTATATACGGAGTTCCGCTTTTATACTTGTGGATATTCGAATTTATTTGGCTCAAAAACACCATTACTTCAATATCCCTTTCTTGTTTTTCCTTGGATAGGTTTTAACAAGATAGAACTCGAGATTACTTGGGTCCAAAGACGCTAGATTATAAAATCTTGATTTGACTTGATACTACAAATAGAATATGTCTTTTATTTAATACTACAAATAGAATGTCTTTTAAGTACAAACTTCAATGAATTGATAAAGTGTAAGGATAGTGTTTAAAGTCGCTTCATGTGTAGAAGCTGAATTACTTTAGTTTATACACTGTATATTGTCAAGATCACATGTTGATATGACTTACTAGCAACTTACTACAGACTTACTACTTGTTTATAATACTTTAGAGTTTGGACATTAGAACATTGCAATTGCCTGACAGAGACTGTTAGGGCCTGTTTGTATGGAAGCCGGGCTGGCCCACTTAGCGAGACAGCCCGGTAAGGTAGATAAGCAGGATGATTTCTCTTGGGTTTATTTGAGAAAATTTCATCCCGCCTACCAGGACAATTTTGTTGTTTTGACATTGTTTTGACAGTTGTTAAAAATAGCTTGCGGCAGTATCATTGAACTTTCATCCTGGCAACTGGGCTAGCCTGCTTGTGATTGTTTATATGGAGAAATTTCCATCCTGGTCTCTGCAACAGGGCCTCCCGCTTGTACATAGAAACAATAATTTTTACTATAAAAATAACTAGACAGCGAGAAACCACTTACCGGGCTGTCTCACTTAGCGGGCCAGCCAGTTTCGATATAAACAGGCCCTTAAAAGCTGCAAGTTTCCTTAAAGCAATATCGTCTATATCACAGAATACAGTTTCTGTAGTGACATACTTTGTGTGTTTTCTGTCTTTAAAGTGTCTTATGTTTGTAATATTTTTGTACAATACCTTTTTGTAACTCAGTTATTCCTTCTCAAGAAAAATAAAAAAACAAAGCTGTGTGGGTGTGTTTTTGCTCTAGTTTTTACATTTACATGGTTCATGTACAATTAATGTACATTTAAATTAGCTTTGTTCAATGAATACAGGTGTGATTCAAATATCATTCTTGTCTGGTACTTGGGTCAAATAGACATAAGCATACCAAATCATGCTATGAATTGAAATACAAGTATAGGGTGTGTATTGTTTAAATAAATATATTTTCCAGTTAACCCAGTAAGTGCCCCAATGCACCCTACTTTACTAGTTTATTCAGGGTAAACTTTCAGTTTTGTGTGAGGCTTTGGCTAATGGTGATGAAGCTATGGCGAAAGGGAAAAGCCTAGACTATGTAGACTGCACCTGAGTTAAGTTTCACAATAAATTTGTTCACATGGATTATATATTGATGTAAAAACTATGGCGAATTTGGGTCGGGCTGAATGAAAGTCTGGCGAAATTAGCCGTTTGCCGGCCTAAACTGAAAACCTTGGTTTATTTCACTTCATCTAATGCCAGATGATTTTACTTATCGAGGGAGAGTGCTGCTGCTCATTGAGCTCTGATTGAGTTCACTGAGTGGCAGCACTTTCCCCTTGACGAGTGAAATTGTCTGGTATTAGACAGAGTAAAATAATCTTTCGTTCAATAAAGTAGCTACTTTTTCAAAAGCTCAACCAGGCTAAAGATTCTTTGATTTGAAAACCAAAGTGATAGTGAACTAGTTACCGGTAGTTGAAACAAACAGAATTGTTTGATTTATTTACTTTCCAGAACATTGACAATTAAAATTTATTTTGATACTTTTCCAGTATGCATTCTTCATTGACATTATAGAGGTTCAGATTTGACTACCATTACCATTAAGGGACCATCAAATGCATTTGATATATTCGATCAACCATTATAACCAATCAGATGCATACTAAGGCAGTCAGAGATAGTGCTAGTAGAACTCAAATCATAACCTCTACAATGAAAGTGTGAGTTTATTCATAAACTAATTATACGTAAATCAACTTTCATGCAATCATCTAGTTATGCACCAGTCAATGTAAATCCCTGCCCCCAACCGGGGAGGGGCGGAAGGTTTATCGGGGAAAGTGGTCAGTTTCGATTATAAATTTGTCCCCGATGATGGCAGACTTGGACAGTGGTTAACATATATATCCTGTGTTGCTGTTTTAGTTTTCTTGACAAGAAAAGTTTAAATACAATAACATAAATGAATTTGATTTTCTATTGCTGATCTATGATTATACAAAACTATTTTCCTGGGGTTGAGAGACATGCAGGGTACATTGATGTCCCTGGGGGCGGGGCCAATTTCGCTCTTTTACTACCCCTCCAAGTCAAAATCCCTGCCCTTCCCCAGTTCGGGGGTTTACGTTGACTGGTGCATTAATTAAAGAAGTGTCAGTGCCACATATGTAGTAAAAGCCAACTTGTCAGTAAAGGCCACAGAGCAAGATTGTATTTCAAAGACTGTCAGTGACAAAAACAATTGATAGTCCTGAAATAGAGTATGCCAACAGTTAGTATACTGCAAATAACTATTCTATCAACAAGATAAAAATAATGTGTGTGTTTTACAAGTGTTTTTTTATATATCAATCCAATGGCATGTAACCTAAAATTCAGCAGTGTCTGTGTAATGAAATACACCCTTACTTCTCAAATATGGTCAAATTAACTATACTACATTGTGTATAATAATATATGGACTGGTTCAAAAATATATTGAATTTATATTAGTGAACTGGTGAACTATTGATGTAGAGATTATGCCAAGTATAGAATGGCACAAGGATTTTCATGTTATCAGCATGATTAAATTGTGAGATTGTGCAAATAATCTGTGTAAATCTCTTAGAGATATTCTCAGTAGCTACATTTTAAGGTAAAATGACTATGGTAAAGCTATTCAAGGCAAAAAAGCAATGGATCTGTCAACCTCGTTGTCAACAGTAAATTTAGCTACGTTTATGATCCATTTATTGCCGTATTTCAGCTGAGAATTCATTTAAGACAATGCAGTACGATAGACTTACCTTTGAATTTATGATATATTCTTTTAAAATGGTCACCAAAGCTCTAAAACTCGATTGGTATCGTTTTAACTTCCTCACTCCTTAATGTTTACATGTAAATTTGTCAAATTACACTTGTTTAGGGCACTGGAAACGAGCCACGGCCAAGATGCGCGAGGCGACATGCGCGGGGACATCAACATCAAAGATTCCGACATCGAGTGAGACTTCTGGTCCTATTATCTATTCTGTGGCGGTGTGATCGAATGATGCTATCCCAGGAAGCTTTGCGTGTGTTGTAGGAAAACTAGGCACCAGTCTGTCAAACCGTCAAAAAGCGCTCATGAGAATTTTCGTTTCAAAATCAACCTCATACCCAGGGCTTCTGCGCTTATTGCTCTCAGAAGCCCTGGGATAATCCAACTCAGAACGTGATTTGATTGGTCAATGCGAATACAATGAAAGTACCGGAAGTTATTCATGATATTTTGGCAACATGGCTGCTATCACAAGGAGTGTATACAAAAGTTAAATGCTGGTTTTTGCATGAAAATACTTTTTTAAACCAAATTCTGGGCTATCTTGAAAAGAGCAAAAGAAGAAATGGAGTATTTGTAAATAAGCTAACAATAAAGTATTTGTAAATAATGGCTAACAAAGTAAAAAAAATTAACATAATAAAGCGAAACATTTCTCGTTCGAAAATTGAAATTTCAAGTATAAATCTACAACTTCAACCATGATATTCAATGTAAATATCACATAATAAAGTTTTTACCTTTATTTGATAAATTGTGTGTTCTATATTATTGCATTTTGTATTGGAATAGGATAAATTATTAATTATACACAAATATTTAAATTTACAAATTATTCCCAATTTGAGGATGCTGGGTGCACTGCCTCAGAGTTAAGAGTTTGTATTAGTGCCTATTTATTGAGTTATTAGTGCCTCTAAATCTCTAATGTGCAAACATTGTAATCTGTACTTAATACCATAAAGAAACTGTTGATAGCACATATATTAAAGGACTATTAATCAAAATGAACTCAATTTTCGACCATTATATAGCATATTTCCCCCAATATTAAGAGAATAATTTCTATTTATTTTTATAATAAGCCAATATTGCCCAACTGTGAAGTAAATATTGCCCAACTGGCCTAGTCTGACCAACAATTGGGTGCCGCCCTGTATGCCTATGGCCAGGCCTACAGGTGGACCCCCAACCTGATCAGTCACAATTTTTCTTTCTCCAAAATTTCCCCTCCCCGTGTACAAGGATTGACAATTTGACAGCTTGATTAGATTTGAAAAAAAAAACACTGTTATATTGGGTCATTCCAGAAAACACCCATATATCACCTCCATGGAGGAAATTGGAAGTTAATCCCTCCTACCCCTTTGGATGTCCTAATACATTTACTATTATCAGAAACAATTTTTCCCACCTCCAAATGGCAGAAATTTCCTCTGTGGGCGGAGTGTGGATCTTGTCTGGAACGACCCATTTGAGAAATGCTTTTGCACAAATTTTAAATTTTCTTACAAACACAACTCATCACTGTATGTCAGAACACTGTTCTAAGTTGCAACTAAAATCCAGAGGTCTAAAAGGCACAAGTCAATTCCAGTGGTGTAACCAGAAGGGGGGGGGGTGTCAAAATATTTTAAATGTTCCGGACTTGTTTGTAATTAAGTAGAGTTGAACATGTGTTAACTGCATGGTTATTTCAAATCACCAAAACACATTAAAATAGCCCCCCAAAATGGCACTTTATTAACTTGAATTTAAAAAGTCTACATTGTACTATATTATACATGGATAGCTTGGGAGTCCAAATATATTTTTACATGATCTAACAAACTTTATTCAAACTAGTGCAGGCCCCTCCTGGGGATTCCAGTCCCCCTTGAAGGCCTTAATTAGAAATCCTGGCTAATCACTGTTCAATTCCATTGCCAATGATGGTATCACCATGATTAGACAGAGTAGGTTAACAAACTAGTGTGTATGATATAATCCATTGAACACTAGCCTGTGTGCAGTCCCAAACTCCTACTTCCTTTGGAGTCTTGGAATGCATGCAGGCTAATTGAACACCAGTGATCTATCCCAACATATAAAATCATCTGGTGTTAGACAGTCAGAGTAAAATAAAAAGTATAGGACACAATGTAAAACTTAATAGGTAAGGTTAATGGCCAGAACTAAATGATAAACAAATATTTTATAACAAACCCAAATTAGTTCAGCACCATTGGTTCTTATAACACTGTTCATTCCAATACTAGAACATAAATTGTCATTAATTAAAATGTATTTCAGTTGGCAATTAACAAAAGTTGGAGTTTCATCCGATGACATATTGTATGCTTCTAACCATGCTGTCCATGCAGCTATCTGACAGTTTTTAATTTTCAACATTCCCAAAGCCATTATTCTCAAGATTTGCCAAAAATGTTT